TAATTCAGAAATCATAGTAGTATAGTTTCTCATATTCATCAAGATATTTCAGGTTGATCAGAGGGTAACTTTTTTTTTAAAAGAGAGACTTTTTTTAAATTTTTATTGTTGGTTGCTCAAAATATTACATAGTTCTTGATATATCATATTTCACAATTTGATTCAAGTGGGTTATGAGCTCCCATTTTTACCCCATATACAGATTGTAGAATCACATCAGTTACACATCCATTGATTTACATATTGCCATACTAGTGTCTGTTGTATTCTGCTGCCTTTCCTATCCTCTACTATCCCTCCTCAACTAAACTGTTTTGTGAGTGAATATCATTGCCTTTATTTCCACTCATGGTGGGAAATGTTTGAACTTTCTACCATTAAATATGATGGTGGCAACATTTTAGTAGATTATTTTTTATCAAATAGAGATATTCCCTTTTATTCTTAGTTTACTGAGAGTTTGTAGTCATGAACAAGTGCTATGTATTTTTTCTGCACTTAATGGTACGATCACATGTATTTTTAGCTTGTTGATATGGTGGAATATATCAACTAACTTTCAAATGATGAACAAATCTTATTGATCCACCATAATACCAAATTCAGCTAATTCTTATTTCATTTCTATTGGTTTGCCAAAACACTATGATGTTCTATTATTGCAAAGAAAATTTTTGAGAATTATTGTATCATCTAAGACAGTTGACCAATATATTATCTGTAATACCCATCTTATCTCTAATAACTCTCCCTACTTTTACTTTTAACCTATATGTATTTTATATTTAAAGTTGAATTGTTACAGATGATGTTGTGTCTGGTCTCATGATATGTCTGATAATTTTTAATCGATACATTTAGGCCACTGATATTCAAACTAAATATTGATATTTTGGGATATATATCTAAGGTGTATTACTCTTTTTCAGTGTTTCCCTTGTTCTTTATCATTTTATGTATTTAACACATTTTATGTTTCAATTTTCTCTCCTTATTAGAATAGCAGTCATACTTCTTTGTTTCCATCTTTTTGCTTCTTTCTTTGTGTCTTTATTTCTTACTTACTTTTCCTTGAGGTTCAAGTAGTTTCATACTGTTTTCACAAACCTTAGGAGAGTCATCTTAGTGATAGAATAATCCTAGTTCTTCCCTCCCAAGTATCACTAATTGGAACCAGAGACAATTTCTGTCCCTAATTGTACTTGTAAATATAGACAGATATATACATTTATATGTTCATATATATATATATATATATATATATATATATATATATAAATATACAAAAATAAAGACAAATAAAGAAAGAAATGGAAGACCTTAGAAGATGGAAATATCCCCCCCCATGCTCTTGTATAGGCAGAATTTAATATTGTTAAAACAATCATTCTACCAAAAGCATTATACAGATTTCATGCAATTCCTATTAAAATCTCAATGATATTCTTTATGGAACTAGAAAAAGCAATCATGAAATTTACTTGGAAAAATAAGAGACCCCAAATAGCCAAAGCAAACTTTATCAAGAAGAGTGCCCAGGTGTGGTGGCTTACACCTGTAATTGCTGTGGCTTTGGGAGGCTGAAGCAGGAGTATCATGAGTTCAAAGCAAAAACAAGGCACTAGGCAACTCATTGAGACCCTATCTCTAAATAAAATATAAAATAGGGCTAGGTATGTGGCTCTGTGGTCAGGTGTCCTTGGTTCAATCCCCAGTAACCCCCCAAAAGAATAGTGAATCAGGAGGCATCACAATACAAGACCTTAAACTATACTACAGAGCATATAACAAAAAACAGCAACGTATTGGCATCAAAACAGATATATAGACCAACGGTACTGAATAGAAGACAGAGAGACAAACCCACTTAAATACAGTTATCTTATACTAGACAAAGGCACCAAAAACATTCATTAGAGAAAACAGCCTCTTCAAAAACAGGTGCTGGAAAAACTGGGTATCCATATGTAGCAAAATGAAATTAAACCCCTATCTCTCATCCTGCATGAAACTCTACTCAAACTGGATCAAAGACTTAGGCACTAGAACAGGGAACCTAAGCCTAATAGAAGAAAAAGTAGGCCTTAAACTTCACCGTGTTAGCTTGGGACTTCCTTAATAATTAAAATCAAGAATCAATAAATGGGATGGAATCAAACTAAAAATCTTCTCCATGCAGGAAATAATAACATTGAGAGAGAGCCTACAGAATGAGAGAAAATCTTTACCACATGCACCTCTGATATAGCATTAACATCCAGGATATATAAAGAACTAAAAAACTTAGCTGGGCTAGGTGGGGCACACCTCTAATCCCATTGGCTGGGGATGCTGAGGCAGGAAGATTACAAGTTTAAAGTCAGCCTCAGCAAAAGTGAGGTGCTAAATAACTCAGTGAGATTCTGTGTCTAAGCAAAATACAAAATAGTCATGGGGGTGTGGCTCAAAATTCAAGTGCCCATGAGTTCTATCCCTGTTACCTGCCCCCTGCCCAGGAAAAAAAAAAAAAAAAACTCAATAAACTCAACACCAAAAAACAAATAACTCAATTAATAAATGGACTACAGAACTGAGAAGACACTTCACAGAAGAAGAAATATCATCAGTCAACAAATACATGAAAAAATTTTCAACATCTCTAGCAATTAGAGAAATGCAAATCAAAATTACTCAAAGATTTTATCTCCCTCCAGTCAGAATGGCAATTATCAAGAATATGAACAGTGGGGTGGGTTGTGGCTCAGTGGTAACAGCACTTGTCTTGCACATGTGAGGCACTGGGTTCAATCCTCAGCCCCACATACAAATAAATAAATAAAGATATTGTGTCCATCTACAACTTATAAAAAAATTAAAAAGAAAGAATACAAACAACAATAAATATTGGTGAGGATGTGGGTAGAAAGGTACACTCATACATTGCTGGTGGTACTGCAAATTGGTAAAATCACTATGGGAAGCCTTAAGGAGATTCCTTAGAAAACTTGGAATGGAACCACCATTTGACCCAGCTGTCCACTCCTTCTTTTATACGCAAAGGACTTAAAATTAGCATACTAGAGTGATGCAACCACATCAATGTTTACAGCAGCTGCATTCACAACAGCTAAACTACTGAAACAATCTAGGTGCCCTTCAACAGATGAATGAATAAAGAAAATGTGGTGTATATATATACAATAGAATATTATTCAGTGTTAAAGAAGGATGAAATTATGACATTTGCCAGTAAATGGATGGAGCTGAAGAATATTGTGCAAAGCAAAATAAGCCAATCTCAAAAAACGAAAGGCTGAATATTTTCTCTGATATGCAGATGTTAACTCACAATAAGGGGGTGTGTCATGCAGATGTTAATTCACAATAAGGGGGTGTGTCTAGGGAAGAATGGAGGAACTCTGGATTTGGCATAGGGAAGGGGAGGGAGAAGATTAAGTATGGTGGTAGGAAGGATAGTAAAATGAAGTATTATTCCATTATGTGCATATGTGACTACATGACTGATGTGATTCTATATCATGTACAACCAGAAGAATGAGAAGTTATACTCAACTTATGTATGATGTGTCAAAATGAATTCTACTGTCATGTGTCACTCATGAGAACATTTTTTTTTTATTTTAAAAAGATAGAAAAATAAATGTCTCTCTCTATATAAACATCAGTGTACATAATCTAATATATTATGTTATACTATACAGTTGTATTATTTTGTTATATTTATGTTATGTTTATAACATAAATAACTGCATTATTTATGTTATAATACAGTTGTATTATTTTGAACAAGTTATTATAGTTTAGATAAATGTTGAATAACTTATTTGTTAGATAAATTAAGAAATATAAGATCTTTTTACTTTGTTTATTCCTTCTTTTGATGCTATTCATTTTATTTTTCTTTCTATTGATCCAGTCTGATCTATCTTATTTTCTTCTTTCCAAATAATTTATTTTAAAATTTATTACAAGGCAAGTCTACTGACAGTAATTTTTTTCAATTTTTGCTTGTCTGAAAATATCTTTATTTCTCATTCAGTTATAAAGAATAACTTCACAGGGTGCAGAATTCAAAGTAGATAGCTGTTTTTTCTTCCAATATTTGAAATTTTTTACTTGCGATATTTCTCTTATTTCTTGTGTGATTTCAGAGAATATGAATATAAATTTTATCTTTGATGCATTAGGGAGAGGTAAGGCGTTTTTGTTTTTTTCCCTCAACCCAGTTTCAGAAAAAAATACATACATACACTCTCACACACATATGCTTACATACATATAAATATGTACTTTTCTTTTTTATGACATTTTTATTGAGTCTTTTGAGATATACCTAACATTATGTATATTCTGAATGTTAATACTGTATCTAAGGAACAGGTGGCAAAGTCTTCTCCCATTACACAGGCTCTCTCTTCATACTTTAAATGGCTTCTTTTGCTTTTTAAAAGCTCTTCCATCGGATATAATCACATTTATTGATTATTGATTTTATTTCTTACTTTTTAGAAGTCTTATTAAGGAGGTCAATTCCTGTGCCAACATGTTGGAATGTTGTGCTTATATTTTTTCTAGCAGTTTCAGAGTTTCTGGTCTAATTTATAGGTCTTGCATTCACTTTGGGTTGATTTTTGTGTAGGTGAAAGATAGAGGTCAAGTTGTATTCTTCTCCATATGGAGTACCAGTTCCTCAGCACCATTTTTTGTAAAGGCTATATTCTCTCCAAGAAATGTTTTTGGCATCTTTATCTAATACTATATAATTGTTTTTATGTGGGTTTACCTTTGCATCTTCTATAGCATGGCTCCTCAAGTTTGTTTTGGTGCCAGAACCATGCTGTTTTTGTTGCTATAGCTCTATAGTATATTTTGAGGTATTCTATTGTGATGCCTCCAGCATTACTATTTTTAATCAATATTGCTTTGATTATTATGGTTCTCTTATTTTTTGAAAAGAATTTTAGAATTGCTTTTTCCAGTTCTATGAAGAATGTCATTGGGTGCTTGTCTCGGCAGCACCTATATTAAGGTTGGAACAATACAGAGAACATTAGCACAGCCCTGCACAATAATGACACACAAATTCCTGAAGCATTCCATATTTTTTTTCTCTTTTGATATGAAGAGGCCAACACATAATGGGGTGGGAGGGGTAGGGAAAATAGAAGTTTATTGGATTAGACAAAGGGAAGTGAAGTAAAGGGGAGGTGGGTATAGGAAAGACAATAGAATGAATCATGCATAACTTTCCTATGTTCATATATAGATACACAACCAGTGTAACTCCATGTCATGGTCAACAAAAACGAATGAGATCCTAATTATAATGTGTAATATGTCAAAATACATTCTTCTTTAATGTATATCTAAAAGGAACAAATTCCAAAAGGGGGAAAAAAACCATAGAATGTCATTGATAATTTGATGGAAATTTCGTTGAATCTGTACAATGCTTTTGGTAGCATGGCCATTTGCTATTAATTTTACCTACCCAAGAAAAAGGAAGGGCTTTTTATCTCCTAAGATCTTCAATGTATTTCTTCAGTGTTCTATAATTTTCATTGTGAAGGTTCTTGGCATCCGATATAATATTTATTCCCAAGTACTTTATTTTTTGAGTTTATTGTGAATGGAAGAGTTTTCCCAATTTATTTTTCGGCAAGTTGGTTATTTGAGTAGGAAAGTGGTTGAAATATATATATATATATATATATATATATATATATATATATATACAGACACACACACACACACACACACACACATACACACACGTATCTTTTATCCTGCTACTTTGCTGATTTCATTTATCAGCACTAGAAAGTCTTCTAGTGGAACTTTTTGGGTCTTGTAAATATAGGATCATATCATCAGCCAATAGATTTGAGCTCTTCTTTTCCTATTTATGTCCTTTTGATTTCCTTCTCTTGCCTGGCTGCTCTGGCTAGAATTTTGAGAACTATGTTGAATAGGAGTGGTGACAGTGGATATCCTTGTCTTGTTCCTGATAGTAGAGGCAGTGCTTTCAATTTTTCTCTGTTCAGTATGATGTTGGCCTTGGGTTTGTCATATATACCCTTTACAATATTGAAGGAGGTAAGTTCCTTCTATCCCTAGTTTCTCTAGATTTGGGGATGGAGGGTAGTACAAACCTTACTTAACAACCGAGCCTAATCCCCTGCTTTTTTTTTTTTAACTTTTGGTAAATTTTGAGATGGGCTTTCACCAAGTTGCCTAGGGCCTTGCTAAGTTGCTGAGGCTAGCCTTGAACCTACAATCCTCCTGCCTCAGCCTCCCAAGCAAATGGAATTTCAAGTGTGTATCACTGTAATTAGCTATTTTTTTTCTGGTGCTTTAAACATGAGTGGACACTACATTTTGCCAAATGCTTTTTCTTCATCTATTGAGAGAATCATGTGATTTATGTCCTCAACTCTATACATGTGGTGAATTACATTTATTGATTTCTGTATGTTGAAACTTCCTTAAACCCCTGAAATTAACCCCATTTGATTGTGGTGCCCTATCTTTTCAAAATGTTTTTGTATGTAGTTTGCCAATATTTTATTAAGAAAATTTTACATTTATGTTCATCAAGGATATCAATCTAAAGATTTCTTTTCTTTATGTGTATTTGTCTGATTTTGGTATCAAGGTGATACTGTTTCATAGAATGAATTTGGCAGGGATCCCTCCTTTTATATTTCATGGAATAATTTGAGGATAATTAGTATTAATTTTCTTTAAAGTCTGGTATCTCTCATTTTATTTATTTGAGTCTTCTCTATTTTCATTTTGTCTAATTTGGCAAGTGGTATATCAAATTCTGTTTATCCTTTCACTGAGAAGACTGATGTTTTGTATTTTTTCTTTATTCTCAGTTTCATTCTGATTATAATTATTTTATATCTTCAACTGACTTTGGTTTAGTTTGTTCTTTTTCTAGCACCTTGAAGTGTAATGTTAGGTTGTTTATTTTAAATCATTCCAATGTTTTGATGTTTAAACTCACTGCTATAAATTTTCCTCTTAAAACTGCCTTCATACTTTCCCAGAGATTTTGTTATGTTGTATCACTATTCTTAGTATTTTTTGAGAAATAATTCCCCCCCATTTCTTATGCTGTTCATTTATTGTTAAAAAAATGTATTATTTAAGCTCTAGGTTTTAGAGGATTTTCTGTTTTTCAATTTTATCATGGATTTCTAACTTACTCCATTATACTTTGATACATGTAAGAAATTATCTATATTTATTACTAGTTTATCATGATCTGATACAAGATAAAAATTATCTGTATTTTTGTCTTTGCTAAGATTTTCTTTGTGACCTAAAATATGATCTATTTTAGAAAATGTTTCTTGTAGTGCTGAGAAAAATATATATTTAGATGTTGATGGATAAAATATTCTATAGATGTCTGTTAGATCCATTTGGTTCATAGTACTTTTTAGATCTGAGAAATGTTTACTTGGTTTATGTCTACATGATCTATATAGTGTGAGACAGATATGTTGAATCCACCCAATATTTTTTCATTATGCTCTATTTGATTCTAATATTGAGAAGTTTTTTTCTTATGTACGTAGATGCATCATTTTGAGGGGTATAAATATTTACAATCATTTTTATCTTCTTGTTGGATGATCCAGTTAACCAGTATGAAGGGACCTTCTTTGCCCCTTCTGATTAATTTTGGCTTGATGGCCACTTTGTCTGATATGAGACAAGATATCCCTGCTTGTTTACAGGTACCATATGCACAGCATATATTTTCCCATTCTTTCACCTTCAGTCGGTGGATGTCTTTGCCTGTGAGGTGAGTTTCTTGCAAGCAATATATTGTTGAGTCCTATTTTTTAATTCAGTTTGTCAATATATGACTTTATTGAAGAGTTTAGACCATTTACATTCAATGTTATTATGGAGAGGTAATTTTTATTTCCTGCCATTTTAATTTTTTTGATGTTTAATTCAGACTTGGTTCTCCTTTAATTGACTATTCTACTATAATGCATCCCTATGCTGATTTTCACTTTTATTTTTCATTTATCCTTCATGAAATATTTCATTAAGTATGTTTTTTAGCAATGACTTTGTGATTACAGATTCTTTTAGTTTCTGTTTATCTTGGAAGGTGTTTATTTGATTTTCAATTATGAAGCTTAATTTTGCTGGGTATAGAATCTTGGATAGCACCTTTTCTTTCAGAGCTTGGTATTCCAAGCCCTCCTACATTTTATGATCTGGGTTGAGTAAGCAGTTGGAATTTATATTGGTTGACCTATAAATGTGACTGGCCACTTTCCTCTTTCAGATTTTATAATTCTATTCTTATTCTGTATCTTAGGCAATTTTATTATTTTATATATATATATATTGGAGTAGAACTATTGCAATTTTGTGTATTTGGAGTCCTATATGATTATTATATTTGAATTTCCATCTCATTCCTAACGTTTTGAAATTTTTCTATATTTATTATTTCATTGTAAAGTTTGTACATCCATTTACTTTGTGTTTCAAAGCCTATGTTTACCCCAATAATCTTACATTTGGTCTCTTGATGTTATCCCATATTTATTGAATATTCTGTTCATGGTTTCTTAATATCTTTTCTTTTTGGCAAACTTTATTTTCAAGATTATATACTTTGTCTTTGAGGCCTCAAATATATCTTCAAAGAAATCTTTCCATTGAATTTTGTTGTTGATGTTGAGTTTTCATTTCCTGGATTTCTTTTGGTTCTTTTTCAGAATATCTATCTCTTTATGGAAATTATCTTTGAATTCCTGTATTTTCTCTCTAATTTCACTGCTTACATCTTATTTTAGCTCACTGAGCATATTAACCATGAACTTTCTAAATTCTTTCTCTGACATTTCTTTCCACTGTATTATCAATAGAATTAGTTTTGAAATGTTATGGGCTGATTGAAGCAGTTTGTTGTTTTGGTTTTGGTATTGCTTGTATATCTACCCATCTACTGGGATGGTTATTATTTCTCCTTTTAAGCAAGGGTCTATTTCATGAGCTTCTTTTCCATATGAGCCCTGGATTGGGTTAATATCAGGATATTTATAGTCTGACTCATTGCCTACTCTTTGTTGAGTATCAGTCACTTTGGGAGATGCTGCTGAATCCTACTTACTATAATAAATTCAGAATCAATCCATGTATTATCAACATTATGAAAAGGAAAATACTTGTTGATATTGTTTCCACATTTCTGTTTTGTTATTTTTAATTATTGATATTTCTCATGGTTTATTTTCTAAAAATTTCCCTCTCTGCTTACATTGCCCTCTTTTTCTCATTTTTTGATAGTTTATCTTTTTATGTCCTTATCACATCAATCATGTGGATGTAAGTTTCTGATTTGATAATTACAATTTCTCTACCATATTTTTATCTTGTTCTGGAGTTTGCTTTTTATCTACAAACTGTGGGTTTTATGTTATTGATATTGAGGTTGTTGTTTCATCATGATTTCTATCTAATATTTTCTTGATAGATGGGTATGATAGGTTATCTGAAAGGAAGTTATAAGTAGACATTTAGAAATGTGGTGAAAAGTGTGAAGGAAGAGACACATTCTCCAGTACTCAAAGTAAGTTTCATTTATTTAGTAAGCCTCTGCTTCTGGACTGTGATTTCACATATGCTGCTAATTTCCCTCCCTCTTGGCTGGGCAAGACAGCTATCTTGGGCTGAGGTTGGGTGTGTCCCTTCCCTCAGGTCAGTAAGACTCTGATGAACTGGTAGCATGTAAGAATCTTTTTCATTAGTTTCTCCTGAAGTCAAGCCTTGTTAGAAACAGAGTGTTCTGGCATATTTCAGCACCATCTGCTCTGTGGAATGCTTTGTAATTTCTCTCCAATACATCATGTTTTTCTTTGTTTGTATTAAGGTTTGGTGGCAGAGGTTGGCTTTTGACTTCATGTCTTTGACAGAAATATTGTTTTAGTCTTAGTTTTTCCAACTTTTTTTTTCCAGTATCCTACATGAAAAAACAGCTGTGAGAAAACTCTGAAGATGAATTTTTAGAAATGTAATGTTTAGTTTATAATTATTTGTGAATTTAACTTTTTATAATTTATTTTTAG